ATGCACATCCTTGAACATTCACATCACACATGTACTCAAGAATATTCACCTCACACACACTTCAGGTCTTCTTCCTATGCCTCAGGTCCTCAGATCTTTCTGCTGTGCTTTGCAATGCACGTGTGTGTGTGTGTGTGTGTGTGTGTGTGTGTGTGTGTGTGTGTTGGGAGATAGGTGTGATGATCCCTGTAAGTTACATTCCTCAAGATTTCTTGCTAACTGGATTTCAGCAGGATTTGATTAATAAGAGGTACTGGTGAGAGATGAGAGAGAAAAAAGCTAAGTACTCTTCCTTATTCTTTGCTTGGGAGATATTTCCACCATCTTTGGGGTCCCAGGTTCTGTTGGCAACCTCCCACTTTCACGTTCCTGCAGAATGGCTGAGGCTCGTGGTAGCACACCACCTCCTTTCTCTATCCGTTCATTTCCAGAAATGGTGGTGGCTTTTGCTAATCTCTGAGTTGCTTCACTGCCCATATTTCTATTTTTCCTTCTGTGCAACATCTTTGTAACCAGATGTCTTTTTAAAATTCCCTTTCTGACCTATCTGACAGGCGACTTTTCTAGCTGGATCCTGACTGATGCTTGGCCAATATCTACACCTTAGAATACCCTCACCTGTGGCTACAGCCTTTCCTCTGATGGTGGTCAGGTCATTGTTGGATTAAACCCTGTTGAAAGTATTCAGTTAGTTGAATGAGCAGCTACAGCAACGACCTCTTTTCCCTCTACTGTTCTTGGATTTTTCTTGGGTTCTAAGATTTTCTTAGGTGTACATTGTTGCATGCCTGCATATCTGAATTTAGAGGTCTTCAGCCCTGTCCAGATGGATTGCAAATGACTACAGTGACAGTACCCAGTCTCCTAGACTCATGATTTTGAATACAGCACTTTTGGAGGTTGGAGGCAGAACTGTGCTTTACCCAGTCACACCCCTGCAACCACATTGGACGATCCAGATGTGATTTCAGAAGCAAGGGAACCAGCTCTATCTGGGTTAAGCAAGAAGAATGGGGCCATCACTCTCCTAAAGGTATAGGTACATTTATGATCTGAGCATGGTTCCCTAAGTTTAAATTCCTACCTTGAAACTGACTTGAGCAAGCCAGTCTCTGCCTCAGCATTGTTGCTTTTTAGAATTATGACATTCTATTACAGATCATTTTTTTGTTTGCAGTAGGCCGAAGGATCTACTCGATGTCGAGTGTGTTACATGTTTGCTGGCACGTGGGCCTCATTGACGCATCTGGAATTTACATGGTCCTGATGGGGCTGCCATAGATGTGGATCAGTGCGGGACCCATGCAGTATATATAGTGTCCACAGGGTGGCGCCACGCACAAATGCATTCGCTGCCCCGGTGCTCCAGGCCAGAAGCTGCGCTGCCTATCTGAAAGCCCCTGTTTCTTCTTCCCCAAAGCCTTAGTGCCAGTGAGCACCAGCAGGCAGATGTCTACCTGTTACAAACGGAGACAAGGCATTGAAAGGCCGCTGCAAACATGCAGCTACGTTGTGAGACAAAAAGCACCAAGGTGTTAACACATTAGGTTAATGCATTAGACTGAGCTAATAAAATTAAACGGAATCAAGAAGAGGGTATAAAAATTCAGGAGAGGTTAAATTTGAAAAGGTAATGAGAACTAGGATAAAGGGCCTCAGCACCAGCATCTAAGCATTTTTCTATGTGTTCGATTCGATTAAATGCATTTTTACTTCGAGCAGACGGATGTGTTAGATTTTCCCTGTAGATTTGCTCTAATTTTCTTGATCTTCTCAAGATGCGGGAGGAAATCAGGGTGACACAAGCATTCCTAACAGGTAGGTGGGGGGTACAGACCTGGAGAATGAAGTGGCATGCTGACTGTCACCAGGACTAGTCACTAGTGATCACAGCCCTGGATGCTAAGCATACAAAGGACACCTTTGGGTACTGGAGTCCATCAATACTGGTGTACTCTGTCACCTCAGGATGGGCGTGGGTGACTGGCCAGCCTCTCCTGGCACGGGACAGGGAGGGGGTAATAGTCTTAGGTTCACAAACACACCATGGATAAAGCCTTATCTGCTTCCATCTTCTCTCTACCCCTAGGGATAGTGGCACCCTGGCAGGGGCAGTCCTTATCTTAGGCATCACACAGAAGGAAGGCCAGGCTGCAAGACTCCAGGGGTTCTGATTCTAGCCTGGACTTTGTCCAGATATCACACGGGGAGTGGCTGGGCCTGGTTTGAGAGCCCTCATGCCTCCCTCACTACAGTGACTCCTCTCAGGGATCTAAGGTGTCCACACTGCCCCGTGCCAGCATCTCCCCCAGGCCCCTGGCAGGGCTTCTTGGCTTTCATGAGACCTGTGGGTAGATCTAGCATGCGAGGCCTGTGGGGTCAGGGAGAGCCAGGCTCTTGGCCCTGCCCAGCTTTTCCTGGGATTACATGATAATACATATGAAGAAACATTAGACCATTCAAGTTTATGGATTATGTAGAAATCAAATTGTAATAATCTCCCCAGCCATCTGGTCCTGATGCAATGAGCCAGGACTTCCCAGAAGCCTCTCAGGTCCTGCAGGGCTGGGGCCAGGACTGGGCGTGCTCCACATGCTGAGGCCAGGCCGGCATTTTTCAAGAGCCATGGAAGGCCAGAAGGGTTTATGCCCTCAGTGTGGGAGAGAGGAGGGCAGGGGAGCTAGAACCAGAGCAGGCATGCTGAAAAGCATTCATTACCAATAATTGTGCATATGGACACTCCACCTGTTTATGTAATGAAGACGACTTTGCATTTGAGAAGGCATAATTAGGCACATTTCTGGAGTGGGAGGGGAATTTTTCTGGCGATTAGACGAGTATCTCTCTCCTTTTGAAAAGAGACCCGAGTAGTGGAGAGCTTGTGGTTGGTGGCGCCCATAGCCTACTGGAGTTTGTGAAGGGAGAAGAAGAGAATTAGCGCAGCCACGTAGAGACATGGGCTCTGGCTCTGGTCCACCAAGTTTGAGCTTGGGTTTGTTTGATGTAGCTACGTGGCCTTAGGTGAGTCACTTGAGTTTTCTATGCCTCAGTTCCTCATCTGTAAGTTGGGTATACTAATAAGCTGTGCCTTTTGGGGTTGCTATGAGATTTAAGTAACTTTATTTATTTATTTATTTATTTATCTTTGCAGTGTTTAGATTAAACCCAGGACCTTGGAATGGTAAGCAAGTGCTTTACCAATAAGCCACACTCCAGCCCTTAAATGTGTATATTTAAAGCTGTTGGAAGGTTGCCTGTCACCTAGTCCCAGAATCCAGGGAACACTCTGAATATGAGTGGAGTTCTAGCTGGTATTTCCACTAACACTTGGACGTGGTGGCCAGTGGGGGTTATGATGGTGGTGTTCTGTTGTTTTGTAATCCTTGGTGATTTGCATGGTGTAAATACTCTATCCAGGTAGATTTTGAGTCACCACTAAATGCAGAATTGGGAAGAGGTACACACAGTTGGCTCCCAAGAGTGGGTGTGAGCGGGGTCCCACAGAGCGTTAGCCCTGTATCCACTGGCATGAGAAGGTTGCTGAAAAATAAATACTACGGAAGATTAGGCTAGCAGGTGAATAGCTGTTGCCTTAGAGCTTTTCCTTATGCCAGTAGCCCTGGCCCCTTTCCTAGTGAGCTGCCCAACCTCCCACTAACCCATTCAGTATCAACTCTGGTTTTCTTGAGGCTTTGCCAGACCAAATAAATTATTTGGGGGATCACAGGCTTGCATCCCACAAAGTGACAAGGCAGTGCACTGAGCATCCCGACCCACCACTCTCAGCTACTTTAACAGAAGCCCCTCCCCTCACTGTCCCCAGGCATGGCTATATCTAGAGACTGAACAGAGCATTAGAGTGTCTATCTCTGTTAGAATGGAGTTTGTACATGGTTTGCTTCAATAATTAAAAATGTAATCAATATGACCTGCTTCACAGGCTTGGAATGCAAACAGTATCACATTTCTTTTATTTCTCCAATTAGTTACTTGAGCAATCTTTATTATTTAAAGTTTCTCTTTTGAGGCTTCCCACCCAGTAGAATTGTTGATGGCTCACTAGAAGGAAATACACTTACTTCCCAATACCAGGCAGACTGAAACAGATTTGGATTCATCAACTAGCTGATAGCTTGGTTTGGTGGCTACCATTGTGCTCTAGCTCAGAGTGCTCCCTGACTGGTACACCAAGGTGGTTGAGTCTCAGCAGGATGGAGCCAGGCAGGCAGCAGAATGGTTAGAAGTGGATAAGAGTGTGGAGGATGGGTCTGTGGTGAGGTGTCCTGTGCATCGCCCAGCCAACTCCAGCCATGTGGAAGCCGGGGCCCTCTGTTACTGTAGCAGAAATGTCCCCCTCAGCCAGTATACTTCAGGTTATTAGTTTCTCAGGTAATAGTTCTGGTTATAGTTCCTGTAACTTTTGTTTCTTAGAAGTGGCTGGTCACTGTGATGTATATAGCTGGTCACTATGGTGGATACTGTAAGAACCAATCCCCAGCTGACAAGCCATTCTGCCTCAGTACTTCCTGCTTGCTTATCCCATGTAAGCCCTAGACCAGCAGAGATCATGGCCTGATGATTTGGGAAATATCCCAATCAGTGCCTTCTGACAGAAAATAAATCTGGCTCCAAATCTTGGGTGTTGTCTTGGTGTTTCTGTTGCTGTTGGTTCAGTGAAGAAAACTGACCATGCTGACCTTTCTGGTTACCAGTTATGGCCCTCATCAGAGTAGGAACCTCTCCAGGTCCCTATGGGAAGGTGTGCCCTTGAGATTTCTTGAGTCCCCTTGGAGGTCTGAAGAAGGATTCTTGGCTCCCCCCTTGAGCAGCTCACATTGGCCCCTAAAAGGAGGAGAGTGCAGTCTGTCTGTGCTTCTGCCTGCCTGCCTGCCCGATTCAGGGCAAACCCCAGGGACACCCCAGTTAGTTGTTAGTCTGTCAGTCCTACTTAGCTCGAGGAGAAGCAAAGTGTGATCAATTCTCATTAGACAGGACCGCCCTCAAGGGAAGGGGTTTGGAATGCTTATCCTCTGAGAACCTGTTGAATGAATGTGTGAGTGAGTAGACTAGAGAGTATAAGCAATAGGTTTCTCCGTCTACCCCAAGACTGAGAAGCACGGGTCATGGTGGCTAACTGGATCCTCACCTGCAGTTCTGCAGTGATCAACCTATGGCAAAACAGAGGGCTTGTACCCTCCTTAGGCTTAGCAAAGTTCAGCCTAAGTCTCCGTGAGGGGCACAGCTAGGTGGGCATCTGAATGGTCAATCTCTCTCTTTGAGGGCACCTACCCTTTGTCTGCTGTGCCATTGTTCAAGGGTACTCAACACCTACTCTAGGGAGGCTGGCCTGCTTACGATATAGGGGAGGAAAAGAGGCTTCTTCTCCCCTCCATTTGGCTCTTGTTTTTTCTATCTTCTGCTGTCTTGAAGTGTTGCCCCTGCGCCATGCCACCCTGTCTTGAAGCCAGATAATTATGGGCTGAAACCGCTCTAAACTATGAGCTAAATAAACCTTTTCTTCCTTAATTTTGGGTGTCAGGGATTTTACCTTAGCAATGGGAGGAATCAAGACAATCACCTTGGACAAGATCTCTAAGCTGTTAACAATGCAGCTATCACCTTGCATTCTGTGGTTTCCAACCCATACACCCTTTTTGGACCCTTGCTCCATTGCCACAAGGGTTTGGGTACTCTCTATTTTCAGGGATGCCCTAGCAACAGATTTGGCTCCAGGATAGCCTGCTTTTCTGTCACTTCCATCTCTGTCACAGTCCCTCATAAAAGAAAGAAAATGAGGCTTCAAAACTATAAAATGTCTGCAGACTGTCAAACTGCTAAAGTATACCTCTCCTCCCTGGAAAGCCAGTTCAGGATCTCTGAGCTACCAGAGCTGCCATGGTTGCCCTCCATATACATTGCTTCAGTCCTTTGTCACCTACAGCCTGCTGCTACACCTGCCTGAACCTAAAGGGTGCCCTTCTTCTGCCTTCCATTGGCTCCTGTCAGCCAACCCTCTTTGCCTTTAAATGGCAAGATTCCAGTTCTGCATTCAAAAGTCAAGTGACCTGAACTCAACCTCCCAGAGGTTCAAAAAGTTGTTTATCCTCTTTGGAGAAGCCCTCACACCTAACCTCACTAGTTTCCCAGGACAAAATATCACCGAACTTATGATTAATGACACCCAAGCTGCCTGTTGGAAAGATATGAAAGCTCTGCTATAATATCTGTCAAAAAACTGGTTACAAGAAAAAACTGCGTATTTCTTGGAGCTGCTATCTTCTGTAGAATCTAGATCCTTACATTTACAAAAGCAGTGATTCTTCCTTGGCCTTCAGCCCCCATGAATGCCCTGTGGCTACCTGTGCAATTGATTGGATCCAGTTGCTGAGGGCTGCCTCCCACCTTTCTTTCATGGCCTAATAGCCACTGCCCTTCTGACCAAAGAAGCTGACAAGCTCTCCCGAGAGCTAGATCTCCTAAGATCTAGCTGTCCCGGTGCCACATGCTGTACTGGACCTCCAGATAACTGTGTTCCATTCAGTCCTGCCATGTATCTGCCCTCCAAGCAGGGCCCATCAGACTATGACCTAAAAATGGACCCCCTGACAGATGTTGGCACGTCCTGTTACAAATGGAAATAGCTCTTTTAGGACAGGCTGGATATGCTGTGGTCACCTCAGACAAAGTTATTTTAGCGAAAGCTCTCTTGTTACTGCTTTCTGCTGCTGTTTGTAAATCTGCCACCAAAGATACCAAGCCTGCACTCTTAACCCCCCTCCAGGGACCCAAGTCACTGAAAGAGCAACCCCAGCCAGAAAAACTTGCCTAGTACTCCTGGAAGATCCACTGTGCATTCTGCACACTTAAGCCACAGCACTGGCACCCGTATCGCCAGCCAGCTCAGGTTTCAGCATCTATGTCATTGAGCCTGACCTCACTCCATTTAAACATGTACAGCTTAACTTAGTTCTTGTCTACACATATTCATGCCCATCCAAGGCTGTCCCTACCTTAGCTGAGAGGGCAATAAAAATTTGTAGGGTCCTTTTGTGAACAATCAGCTGTCAATATGGCCTACCCTTGATCACTGGCAGTGAAAAATGGCCTGCAGAGGTAACTAAATAAAAACTACATGTAGCACACCACCTCAACCTCTAAAAACTTGAAAAGTAAAATATAACCCTATACCAACAGCTTATAACTACATCCATAAAAGTTTACTTAAAAGATCGGCTATAGCTGTAGCCATTCCTGCACACGTATATCACCCAGGCACATGTTAACTACAAGTTTCAGAAGTCTAGCTTTAGATCCATTAGAGATTTTTTTTTTTTTCTT